ACACTATGTTCAATTGAAATTTGACTTAACGGTGAAGGACGATTATTCTAGCATTTGCTCAATTTGATTTCATGAATTTCATTGGAATCTAAATTTGTATATACCGTAGTGTATATTTCAATGCACTAATGTAACATTTACAAATGATAATGATAAAACATATACTACGTATAAATATATAACTTTGGTCTAAAATACTCAAACCCGGCCGATCCTTATGGGTTAACATAAGCGGAAAATTATAGGTTAATGCATAGATCGATTTTCAGGAGGAATATGGAAAAAGTTTGCGTCTATTATATATTGACTCACACAAATCTATTACCAGTTTCTGAAATTTGAATCTGAATTTCCTTCTGCTTTAAAAAAGAAGAAGCAGAAGCAATTTTAAACACCCCTAAACCTGATCTTATTATTTTTTATCTTAATTTTATCTTATAATTTTTGTTTTTAACCTTTTTTGCTTCAAAAGTAAATTAAAGTTTAACTTCTAAACACTCTAAACAGTTCAATAACTCATTCGCAAATCACTAGTACAATTCAAATTGAAATAAATGATTTCATAACTTTTTCAGAATTAAATGAATGTTTAAATATGCCTCCAATATATGCAGGGGCGGATCCAGAAATTTGAGATGCCATGAGCTGAATAAAAATTATAATAGGTTTAAATATTAAAGGGGTAGGCTAAACGTGAAAAATGACAAAATTCACACTGAAAAAATTGAAAATTTTCTAAATTGCCAAAGGCTTCAGCCTACCATAGCCCATAGATCCTCCCCTGAATATATGGCAGAATCATCTGGCACAATTTCATGTTTTTAATTAGATTGTACGTAGTACTAGGTAGGGTTGTAAACGAATCAAATCGAGTCGAATAGTAGGATTTTGTATTTGTATTTGTATAATTTTTTCAAATACGAATTTGAATTCAAATATGAAACGAATATTAATTTTGATTTGTATTTGTTTAACAATACGAATAGTTAACGAATCATATACGAATATCGAATCGATTTGAGCATATGTTAAATATTAGTCAAATATTACTTTAAAATAACTTTTCTTATATTTCTTATGTTGTAAATGCATGCTATGACTTAATATGTGTTTTTAGAATTTAAATTTAATTGACCAATGCATTTTTAGATTGTGCACAATATACTACAGTGAATCAATTTTATAATTAATAAATATAAATCTATTTCAAACTTTTTGAAATAAACACTAACGCACAAATATTAGAAATTATACTTATAATGTGTGAAATAAGTTGATGATTGTATATATCAAAGTCAAACGGCTCTAATTTTATTCTTCCAATTGAATACATAATTATGTGTATTGTATTTGAAAGACATCTGAACCGAAAATTTAATTTGCATTCGTATTTATATTCCGATTTACTACAAATGGACTTGGAATCTATAAATGTATATATGGCTACACTTTGAGGGTATTGACATCTTTTAAAAGTTATTATAGTGTTATTACTATTATTATTAATATTATTATTATTATTGATATGATCACTATTATTATTCGAATATATTTGATTAATATTCGAATCAAATATATTGATATTCATATTTGTATTTGATAACAACTCGAATAAAATTTAATATTCTTATTTGTATTTGAATTTTCCGAATTCGAATAGTCTTAAACGAATTCAAATCGCGAATCGAGTACAAATTATTTGATTAGTAGGTATGTTTTAAAATAAAATTAATATCGGGTCTAACTTGCGTGATCTAATCTAATTACCTATTTGACCAAGTATATATGCCATATACAAATAAGGGTTGAATAAATTACATCGACGAAGACAGATGAAAATTACCCAACGCAGTTCAATTCGGCCGCACTTCAATTTCTCCTTTTCTTCTTGTCGAACCTCACAGCCGTCAAAATTATCCGGCGGACCACCCTTTGGCAGAAATAGATTTGGGGAAGTGGGGAATAGAAAGAAGTATACACAATCTGGTCTCAATACAAAACCTGGCTGTTATTTCTTACTCTGTATATTTCTATATACTCTAGTGTTGGGCTCAACGAAGTCCTAACGACAAACAACTTCACTCGGAGTCCTAACATATAACCCTAAAAAAACTGTTACAGATCCAGGAGTCTGGATTGGGTTGGATTGAAGAGTAACTATATTAGATTAAAATATTAACATGGTGGGCTAAGTATTGTTTTTTGAAAGAAAAATCACTTATATAAATATTATTATGAATCAGATCGCATCAAACTCAAATAGATGAAGAGAGAACTCTCTAAGGACTAATTTGAATTTGCACCACATATTATTATCTAAATTGGACTTTGCATCCCATTTTTAAAAACATTTGTTTTTGCACCCCAACCCCTATATGAAAAGACAAAAATGCCCTCAATCAGGACAATGTTGAAGGTCAACAAAATTGTTAATAGAGGGGCATTTTTGTCTTTTCATATGGGATTGGGGGTGCACAAACAAAGAGTTTTAAAAACGGGGTGGAAAGTCCAATTTAGACAATAGTTTGGGGTGCAAACTCAAATTACCCCTTCTCTAAATAGGAGTAAAAAAGTTTGAAATTTCAAAAGAGGACTATCATGTTTTTTATTTCCCGAATATGAGTAAAATTTTGTCAAGTTTGGCATTGCTAGACTTTAAACATAACATTTTTTTTAGATTTGGCAGAATTACTCTTATTTAGAAAATAAAAACATGAAAGTCCTATTTTGAAATTTCAAAACATCTGTACTCCTATTTAGGGCAATTTCTCATAGATCAACATCGACAACACCTGCCTGAAGCCAACTTTCACTATCAATCTTGTGTTTAGACATAGAAAGGATCACCCCTAAAAGAGCAATATGTATCGCTAACCACCAAACGAATTTGACATAAGAACCACCGGTCATATAGATATTTCTAACGATATAATAACTAACTGAATTGTCAATCATTATGGTAAATCTAATACTAAAGACTTCAAAAAACTGAGCAACATAAACAAGCATAACACGAAAGTAAGACCGCAATAAATAAAATAACTGATAAAACTTCAAATATCCCTACGGCAGCATCCTACCGTAATTTCAACTCCTTCCTGCCAGATTCCTGAAACATCATTTTTCAAACTCTGCCACCTCGATCGCTCCAAGGTGGCGGTTCAAGAGGGGGCGGACCATCGATCTGTCCTCTCCCTTGTTCAACCTTTCACCTCTCCCTGAATGCTCTTCGACTATGCCGCCTCTTAGTATGTTCGTCGTGTACGTGCCAATAGTACTTAGCTTATCCCCTGCTACATCGCCCTCCATCCTTCAGCCGCTTGAGCGCTTAAATTAGCCACTAAACACGCGATCAACCTTCTGCTCACTCGTCGGAGAAGCAAAGCTCAAATCAACGCCGACCACTTGTCGTCCCAAAGCTATGTGCAAATTGTCGACTCAAAAACTGCAAACGAAGTCGCCCCCAACCCTAGGCATACGCCCAATAGACCGCTTTCATTATGAAGAACCTGAAGCCTGCACTAGCACTATCTCAATTGGGAATTGTCGGATTGCGATTGCCGAAAGGAGTGCGGCTAACTAGTGAGGGCCTCGCCTATGGGTTACGTATGATAAATGAAAAAATTTATACTAAAAAGTTGGGGAAAAAATAATCTGAATTTCAGTCTATCAAAGCCTCCATATATAGATCCTCTAGTAAAAGAGTTCCAGTAAATACTTAAAAACAGCAGTGAAGCTCTTTGCACACAAAAAAAATCAATTGGCCACATGAGGTGTAAAAAACATCCAATTTCTCATTTTAGAAGGTGATCATATGAAATATGATAAACTCATATATATGTTAACATACTTTAATAAAAGTTTTTGGTGTCATTTCAATCAATATTTTATTATTTATATATTAAATTTGGTCAAGAAATAGACTTTTACGCTTTTTACTATCGTGTACATATATTTTCGACTTTGGAGAAATAAGACAATTATACTAGCTTGGCATTCAATAGCACAAAGTCGGAACTAAAAGAAGCAAATATCATGCATAAAGAGAAAAAAGGGGATCTAACATTAATAACCCACAACACTACTTGTTTCTCAAATAAAAAAGTTTTGCTATACTTTGAAGAATGAAGCTTATTTCTCTGTGGGGTAATCCAAATAACACGATTCTAGCAGAATTAAAAGATGTTTCAATATTATGCAATTCATATTCATAACACAAAAGTCGTATCCAAAATCTCAAGAATCAAGACCATTTAAACCGGCCATGAAGTTATATTATTGGTCAGAACCCAGCGGCATTGATGACAATTTGATGGCCTGTAACTTTAATTAAGAAACTTTAACCAAATTTTGAAAGGAAATGGTCAGATGAAGTACAAAGTAGATCCCAAAATAATCACTAGAAATATCATGTTATGAAGAAAAAGAGTTTAATGCTCCTTTCCACTCTCTATAAATAGGACAGATTCATAGGTTGATAACTCCTAATTCCCTAAATAGGAGTAAAAACGTTTTCAAATTCCAAAATAGGAGTATCATGTTTTTTATTCCCTAAATAGGAGTAAATTTCTGCCAAGTTTGAGCATTACAAGGCTTTAAACATGACATTTTTTCAAACTTGGCAGATTACTCTTATTCAGAAAATAAAAAACATGATACTCCTATTTTGGAATTTAAAAACATTTTTACTCCTATGTAAATTGCACACGTACATCACATATATGTCAAAAATAGTTTTGCAGAAAAAGAAAAATTGCACCTTTATACTCAAAACTTAAGTTCCTTTTTAATACGTCATTTTATATTAATTGCTACAGCCAAAAAGCTAAACTATTAAACATCTTTTTACAATCCGTCAATTTATTCTGCTAGTCAAATCTATTGACTGATCCGTTATAACCAACTTGCTAATATAATCCACTATGTGCTAACCGTTATCCGCTAAATGCTGAACATGTCTTATGTCTGACGTTGGATCCCACACCAATTTGAAATGAGTTCGTAAATAAAAACATTTGGAAGTATGTTTATTAATGCATCAATCATTTGTCCCCAATCATTTGTCCTTGTGGATATGAACTAGATTCAAAGAGTCAGTAATCCTAAAATTAGGATTCGGCAAATACTCACTTGTAAAATATCATATTTCGTTGACGTAACTTTTTTCCATGACAAACAACTCAGGGGAATAAGTAATTCAATTAAAAGCAAATAAAATATTATAGAAATATATATGGAGTATTAATTAATCAAACAGAATTGCAATGTGTGATGAAGTTTTGGAGTCCAATCTTAGAGCCGACGGTGATTAAATCATGGTGCACTTGAGCTCTAAAATCAGCATAAGTGAAAGGCTTATAATGGGAGCTCTCAATCACAACATCATCTTCAGGGAAAACAAAGTATCCTATGGATATTCTCTCCTTTTCTTTATTCACCTTCACCCTGTGCTTTGCACTAATATACTTGTTATCACTAATTGCCTGTAAAATTCATCATCAGTAACATACGAAGTAAATATTATGACTCCATGTAATTGAGAATATAATAAAGAATGCTTTGCACTTTAAATTTCAACAAATCATTTGATAAGTTGAAGGAAATTAACGTGCTCCGCAAATTTATCCAATAACTTTTTAACACCTTTTAACCATTCACATTTAGGGATGTACGAAATTGATGTCATCTATGTTTTTTCGAAACAAAACTATAATCAGTATTTCAAAAATTGGTCTTTCCTAACTTCTCAAAAATTGATTCTAAGAGCAATTTAGGACACTTAAAAGTTAAAAGTGTACACGCACTCAGGGGCGGACCTATTATAGGTCAAAAGTGTTCATGTGAACACCCAAATTTTATAACTAGTAGTGTAAAAATACATGTATATGGGTGCTATTGTAAAATTTTCTATATGTATATGAACATCCAAATTTTATAAAATAAATTTGAACCTTCAAAACTAACATCCAAGATCCGCCACTGCACGCACTACTAGACAAACATTTCAATAGTTTTCTGCTTTTTGCAAGAGTAGAAACGATTTTAAGAAGATGATGCAAACACTTCTTAATTATTTACTACATCTTCACACACAAATAGTGATACTCCATGAAAACTCATCTTATAACCAAATATGACTAGAGGAAGATTGTGCGTGGCTTAGAACTACTGGGTCATTCTATAATAATGTATCTTTCCGTCTTAGTACTCTCTACCCGAGAACTATCACTATTTAGTCTCACACGGTCTCAAACGGGTTGTAAGAGCTATATGGAAACCCCTTTTTTGGTTTATTAGTCAACTTATTCGACAAAAGCATATTTTTCCATTTCTCACGTTTAATTGTGTAATAATCAAAATAAGTAAGATTGAAATTACTTTTGTGACTGAATTGACTGAAATTTCTCCACATTTTAACTATTTTAATATATTTTTTCTTTACTTTACAAATAAAATATATCTTAAATATTATTATTTTTCATAATTTTGCAGATTCAACCAATTGAACCACTTCAAGTACAATTTAATCTATTTTCAGCAAGATTCAGTCAATTGAGTCAATTTCAGTGTTACCGAACATGTTCTGAATTTTTTTTAATTAGAACTCATTTGACAACCATCGTTTTCAACTTACTAGCCTTTTCAATTAACACTTTTATCAAACATGTCATTTTTTGTAGTAATCAAATAAGTAAGGTTGAAATTACATTTTTTTCCAAAGTGGCTGAAATTACGGTAGAAGGACATTTTAGATATTTTTCGTTTCTTTATTTTATTACTACGTAATAAAATACTATGTATACTTTAAATGAAACATTTTCGTAATTCAATAGATTCATGCCCTTCAATCAAAATTTCATCATTTACAGCAGGTTGAGCAAATTTTGGAACTTCTAAACTCACAGTAAAACACACAATACCATATTTTACCAAAACCAGTTCAAACTCGATCAGACTAAATTAAACCTGAGAGGGAAGTAAATTTTAGGAAATGGGTGGGAATGAAACCTGCATCATATCTCCAATGATAACAATGAGAGTGTTGGGGATAGGTTTGACTTGGATCCATTGGTGGTGGTTGTAAACTTCAAGGCCGCCGATAAGGTCTTGATGGATGATGGAGAGGAGGGAGCTATCAGTGTGGGCGTCAATTCCCCACGCCCGTCCTTCTTCCTCCTTTCCCGTCTCATCTATACAACGAAGATATCGGTATAGACGTAGAATTCCTGTGTCTTCTGAGAGATAACTTATAACACCCCTTCCTAATTCTTTGCTGCAATTACTTGTAGTTTTTGCTCCAAAATTTATCTTCTCTGAAAGTAGTGCTTCGTATATTGCTTTACCCACTCTGCTCTGATGCTTCCCATATTCTTGCACCAAGGATCTACGATTCATACATATATACACAAATGTTACTCAAATCATTTGTCACAAGTCACAACTAATTGAAACAATCAAGCACTTTATTGAGACTTTTGGTACCTCAAAAACTTACTCAATTCTATTAAAAAGAAAAATTAATTAATCTGAAAAAGTACTCCCTTTGACTCGGCTTTGATACTTAACACTTTACCAACTTTAATTATTTAGTTGTGCCAAAAGAATTCCTAAATTCCATTTAAGATCCCGATGTTTGACACTAATATTGGCTTAATATGATGAAATTGATAAAACACCGGTTGGAGTGATTGAATTGGTTGAATCTGTTAAATGATGAAAAATTATACTAGTATTTGAAATATGTTTTGCTAAGAAAATCAAGAAATAAATTATATGAAAAATAGCTAATCGGTCCTCTACAATGACATTAGTCAATCTAACCAGAAAAGTAATTAATGTCGACTTTACTAATTTTGAGTTTTAAATAATCTGAAAATATTAATATTAAAGGGCGGAATCATAATAAGTTTGAAAATATTCATTTGAGTTTTGAGATTTGAAAACCTACAAATTTTACTTTATTAATCCACATACACAGATACACTCTATTTTCATACACTTTTATGGGGCATTTTGTAGTATCAATATATATATTTAAAAGTTTCTAGTAAATTTATACACGCGGTTATAACTTTTTTTCCAAATCGAGTTGTTCAGGAGTAGGAGATGGACTAAAAAAAAGAGTGGGTTTTACAATGCATGGATGAAAAACAAAACAAAAAATGCAAGTATCTAAAAAAATGTGTCATATTTGCACGGACTAAAACTATACTTGAGCCCTTACGAAACACAAAATTTTGATTTTTCAAGACTCTTTAAATATAGAAACTCTTACGAATGGGGATAAAGTATACACACGCGAGCATCTATTCTTATTTGCTCTTTCGTCCCTTAAAACTTTAATTGTCAGCTTTCCTTTTTTATTATCCTACTAACTTTTTCACTTTTTATTTTAAGTAAAGAGTTTGCAGTCCAAGTTAATTATGTCTCTTCTACACATGCAAACTTCAACTACATGGTTTTTATTTTTTTAATCTTCATACCTGTCAAACTTGGCCAAATTTTAAGGGACATGGGAGTACAAAAAAATATTTGTCACGTCATATGAAAAACAGAAAACTCTCTTAATAATTTGGGGTGAATGAGTCCAATATTAATCCTATTTATGCTTTATCTATACATTATTATTTGAAAATTTTCCTCATTTAAATAGAAGTGAAGTGACTTGTATAGTTGTATTCATGCAATCATGCATGCCCGCGTTCAACTCGTTCAAAGTTGGTTGAGCGGATGGTCTATATGGGTCCATTACAATCAAATAATGTTTCTGGGCTGATTTGTCAACCCACAAGGCAGTCGGAGCTTTAGGCAGTTTAAGCCATGTCCGGTTATAAGCAGACCAAGCCGAAGGCCCAAAGGTGGGCTGCCCGACTCTACTGGTCATATCACACGTGTACGGCGTGCAGGAATATATTTTGGACCCTCTTTTAGTTTTGGTTTTAATGAAAAGAGAATTCCCTAAATAGGAGTAAAAACGTTTTGAAATTCCAAAATAGGAGTATCATGTTTTTTATTCCTTGAATAAGAGTAATCTGCCAAGTGTGGAAGAAAATGCCATGTTTAAAAGCCTTGTAATGCCAAACTTGGCAGAAATTTACTCCTATTTAGGGAATAAAAAACATGATACTCCTATTTTGGAATTTCAAAACGTTTTTACTCCTATTTAGGTCAATTTCTGTTTAATGAATAGAGTAATTATCATTATTCTTCGGTTGATAATAGAGATCTGTGATGTTAAATCAACTTAAATGATGCTCTTAATTCTTAGATCCATTTATATAAGATAAAGCTTTATTTGGAATTCCTAATTATAAAAATAAAATGTAGAGCAAAAGTAAGTACAATTTTAATGTTTTTATTGTATTTATATAATTACATATATATACATACAAAAAACTTATACTGAGTATATAACTACAGCACTCTTTAATTGGGAAAGTTCCCGAAATAGGATTAAAACAGTTTGGAAATTCCAAAATAGGACTGTCATGTTTTTTATTCCTAAAATAGGAGTAATTACTGCCAAGTTTGGGAAATACTGTCATGTTTGAAGTCTGGTACTGCCAAAACATGAAAGTAATTAGTCCTATTTTAGGAATAAAAACGTGGAAGTCCTATTTTGGAATTTTCAAACCTTTTTAGTCCTATTTTGGGTAATATCTCTCTTTAATTTGATAAGTTTTGTAGCTTAAATACATAAATAAACTTACTCTTTTAGTTACGTTTCCAAGTTTTCTTTCACATACGGATTACTTTTTTTCATTCGCTCGTAGGGACTACTTTTTTTCTTTCACACTCTTTACAAACACTTCCTTCTCTCTCTAACTTAAAATCCTTCTCATTTTAAAAGTAGATATATTTAAGAATAGTAAAAGGGTATGAATTATTGAAGGTATAATGAGAAGATAGTGGAATAATGTTATCAACTTGTATTCAATATCTTAACTTCTCTCTCATTCTTCTGTATTCTATCAGTATAAATTAAAGGGTCATGGTTCGATCTCGATAATGGTGTACTGTAATCGATCTAAGTGCTCACTAAAAGATAACAGCCCAGCCACCAAAATCCAATGAAATCCCAAGGGAAAGTTTTGGGCCCTTGAATGGAGAAGAATAAACTTCAACCATTATTATTCATTATATTTGTGTGATCTGCTTGATACTCTTAAACGCATTGAAATATTTATTTCACCGATTTGATATAAATAATAAATAATTTAATATATACTATCGCAAGATTTTAGCTAGGGTATTCCTTCGATCATCGTATTAATCATTTAAAATGGAACATTAGGTCATAATATGCTATATGGGTCAATTCAGCCCATAGATATAGGCTAAAGGAACAAATAGGCCCTTGAACTAACTTAAAGTGTTCAATTAGTCCTTTATATAGGACATTTTGCCCGGCCATCGCCAATTAGGGCGGTTTCCGGTGGAACTTTTTGATGAAAATTTTTGAGCATCTTCTTCATTAAGTCTAGTTTATCCATACCAAATTTCAGTTAACAATTCATCAACCGCGAAGGCAGTCAAATGATTTTTTGAAGTAACTGTGTAGTTAAACAGTACATTACCAAGGTCTAGTTGACCGTTTAGCCCATAGATATATATAAGGTGGGCACTTAAGGAAAAAATGAATTAAATTAAAAATGAAAATAACGTATAAACTACCGTACAATCAACGCCAACTAAACCAATGAAATGTATACATACTAGCACCTAGACAAAGTGTACGGTAATGAGGATATTCAAACAATCATTCCATAGCATTTTGAGTGTCAATAATGAACTAAAACTTCTTTGATTCCATAATTAAATTCTCTTTGACTTTCATATTCTTCTACATGAATGTTTGACTCTAAATATATAAAATATTTACATATAAATTTTATAATAAATTAACATTTGAATAATGTATTGCAATAATTATATGAACTTAATTTTGTGAGATAAAGTAATGTGAATTTTGAATAGTTGATGACTTGATGGTCAAAATTTAATCAAAAGGTCGAATTTAACTGTGCGACGGAGGAAGTGACTAAGATATGAACCATTGCTTTACCCTTTGGGTAGAATCTTATTATGCCTAAGATGAAATATGGAGTATCATTTGTGTGTGTATAAGTTCATGTGAGAACTTAATCTTAGGAGAGTAAAAAAGAATAGATGTGAGCCATTGGATTAACACAATTATTTTAATCAATTAGATGCTCCGTATAAGGTCACTATAGTAGTTCCAATGCCTTCCCATAACCGATACCCTTTAATTTAGGAAGTGATAATATTGCTTCCATTAGGTTTTTCCTTGTCATATCTGGTTTTATTCTTCATCTCCGTCTCATCTGTTCGATTTGGTGAAAAGACTGAAAGAAACTCATATCAAAATATCATGGATATCTTAGGGTAGAGCCGTAGAGGATCCATTGGGGATGGGTCGCTGTTAGTATGGTTCCATTGAAACTCTACCAAGCTGATCGTGTTCATGTTTTACGAATCAAAACATAATACATAATTTAAACAGAGTCCGGAAACATGATGTGGCACAGCATCGATCTATCTACCAGCTCCCTCCGGAATCTTCGTTTGCTATTTAATCTAGTTTGTGATTTGCTTTAAAAATATTTATATATATTTACTCTTCCTACAAATCAAAATGACAAAATATTGGTTGATCAACTTTTCTTATGATTCATTCTTATTCATTAATGTTCTGGCAGATTTTAGTGCTTATAATGGTCCACTGTTTGTGATTTCAGGAATATTTAAAATGCTAGTTGTTGAATTAGATGCAATAATAAATATTTCCTATTGCACTTTTAAATATTGTTGTTGCACATTTTTTGGTTTGTAGTTTGCACTAATGTAATTTTCGTGTGTAGATTTGCACTAATAATTAGTGCATCTACATTGTCATGTAATGCATTTTACATATTTATTATGAAATACATACATGATAGCCATCGTTTTTTAGATAATAATAGTAAGTTTTTAGTTAAACTTTTGACGCACTTAGCTTACTTTGCTCTTGCACTTTTCATTAATTAGTTTTTAATTTTATCCTGTTGTTAATACAGGTGAAATTGGAAGGCGACATCATATAATATGGAACAAGTATGATGCTTTTGGAAGAAAAGTGCAGTTCATAATGTTAGAAGTGCAGATATGGAAATTTAGAAAGTGTAATATATAGTAGTGAACTTTTTAGATATTTGAAATGCACATGATAAAAGTGCATTTTATTTTGTAAAAGAGTGCCAATATATAGTTATTCATGAAACATATATAATATAATAATGCATTTTTGTATATATCTAAAAAATGCGCTTTAATATTTATATTCATTTTTAAAACATGTATAGATGTGCACAACATGTGTAGAGT